CAGGCCTAATTTATCTTTCTTCTGTTTTTCTATATATCAATCTTATACAGCTAGAGTGGGACTAAATGTTGAAGGGTCCTTCCTTTGCAGGACTAAATATGAAATTGACTTCTACGAAAAAAAAATCCAGCTAATGATAGTGAATCTAAATATATTTTGCAGCACTTGTTGAAATTATTAGAAGAAAGCAAATGAAGCTGATAGCAGTAAATGGACTGGTTGTAGACTATGTGAGGTTAAATGAAGGTAAGTGAGATCTGCAAGTAGCATTATAAGTTGATATTTTCCATTTAATTAATGTTTTGAACTGAGTTCCAGATTTTCTGGCTAACATGTCTCTTCTAATATCACATTATTACCTGAACCATGTCTTACCTTGAAAGTACAAGCAGAAGTCTGTATTTTCATGCTGTGTTTTTTCAACTAGCAGCATTTGAAAGTACTAATGCAGGCAAATACCTAATATTTTACAGTAAGTTTAATGAACAAGAAGGCAGGAAATATAGAAAAGCAGCCTCTCAGATGTGTTTTCTTCTGGAATATGATTACTGAACATGTGTTTTCTTTCAAAACACCAGAGGATGTGGAGAATTTCTGTTTTTACTTCTTGTGTCTTTGACCCCCTGAGTGCAAAAATTCATTTTTTAACATTGTAATTGAAATTTCAACTGCATTTCCAGGTTATTAAACAGGAAACATGGCTTGTAGGTTGTATTAGCATGATATCATCTTGTTTAGGTAAAGAGGTGCGACTGGATGTAAACATTTTTCTCTGAGTAATGAAGATTAATTTAAAACTCAGAATGGGAAGAAGGCTAAAGCCTAGCACACGGAGGCTGTCCTATGAGGGACTGAGGACTATATTACTTTGCTGAGAATTGGTATCCGACATTGTGCCTCAAGAGCAGTTACACAAAGATAAGGCTCCACAGTGGTAGATAAAAGAAAAGAAGAATACAGAATATAATTTCCTCCAAATGGGGCTGAGCTAGGTGCACAGGCAAGAAGACTCCCTCAAATCAGGAGATCAACAGGGGCTATTCTGAGAGGACACCTCTCCTTTTATTAGGTCAGCCTTCAGGTAAACGTGGAGTAGGGGCAAGTCTCAAAAGGTGAGATTCACACACAAAAGGACTTCTAAGGCTTCTTTACATATTGTTTTAAAAGTTATATCCAAAATGTAAAAGATATGTAACGAAACTTCTTACTGAATGTCAGAAGCAGGTGAGAGGGTTTTAATTTTCTTTAAGGCTGGTCCCCTAGCAAGAAAAGTAATTTGGAAAGCAGAACTTGAGTTAGCAATCTTAACTTTGATCCATATTCCTAAAATGATAAAGGACAAGTAGACTACTGGAGCCATCAGGAAGGAGGGGTAACTCTTTTTCATCAATGCTCAGCTTTTGTACTACACAACTCTCTAAGGGAACTGGTTAAAATCAAGCTGAGAGGAAGAAGGTCATTAATTACCAATGTTGAGTGCTCCACCATGAACACCTATTCCTAGCTCCCTTTCTAGGAGCCTGTACTCAGCAACCAATGCAGTGGTTCCCAAATGTTGTAGCGCATGCTTCCAAGCAGCAGTGCACTAGCATGGACATAACCAAGATGGTTAAAGAGTACTAACATGATGAATAAGATGCTTTCAAGAAATTAGAGTCTGCTAAGTCAAGTTCTACTATTAGACAACCTGTAAGGAGTGTAACTAATTCGAATAAAATTTCCTTGCCAAAAATGAAAACATGTGGTCTCTTTTGTGGACAGTTTCCAAATTTCAAAATATTTGACTGTTATGGTTAACAGTATTCTAAATGCCGTGAGTCTTATATGTTTTCAGGGGTCATTGTGCTTTTTGTCATTTCTGCTGTTGGGATGAGCTTTTCAGCTGCACAGAAAATTCCTAGATGTTATATCCTACTTCAGTCTAGACTGACAGGGATTTCTAGTTAGCAGTCAGTCAGTTCTGTGTCTGTGACCAAAACAGACAAATAAGCAGTTTTTATTACATAGGTTTTATAACTGTAATACACAAATGCTATCAAGTTTTGCTTCTGTCTGGTATATTAGGAATCTAGCCATGCCACTAAGTGATTCTCTGTGTGACATATAAGTGAATAGACATAGAAAGAAAGTGCAGATCCTTCTGTTCAATATTTATTACCTGTGATTGCTTTGGAGGCTGCAAGAAAAGACAGAATTGCTGAAGACCAGTCAAATTACTTTTGCTTATAATGTGAGTAACATTTGTGTCCAGATGTCCATAGATTTCTGTTCTGGTCTGTGGATTTCACCTATCTCACAAAGTTATTTATAGCATGAAATTGCATTCACTTTTTTGTCTTTATGAGATAAATCTTTACTGTGCTCAAGCAAAAACTATTGAATATTCAAACACCTTTGATGTTGGCTTGCACACTCGCTCAAATCTGTTGAGCCAGCTAGCTTACCATCTGGGAAAATTCTAACTTTAGGTTTTGTTTCATATGTTGGAATTATTCTTGGTTTTTTTCTTTGTTCATCTCTTTAATTTACTTATTCTCCCAATTCCTACCCACTATTCCTTTTTCTTTTTTCTACCTTAGAACATTATCATTCTGGACCATGCAGTGTCCATTTTTAAAAATCTCTGCTAATTCCTGTTGTTGCTACATTTCATTTCATCCAGACTTAATCACAGACCTATGATATAGTCAGGATTTATGATAAGACCAACACTGAAATCAACATAATTTTACACGTCAGAGATTTTAGAGTGTTAAACTTGAATCATAGCCCTCAAAAGCTGTATATTATTCTTCTGTGACCCATTTCCTTCAAGCTGGTCAGAAGGCATGAAGTGCTGCATGTGAGTGTTACGGGAATTACATGCAGAGATGGACAGAATATACTACTGCAAGAGGACAGTGCAACACAAAGCAATATTTTACCATTGTTGTTGGTGTTTACTCCAAATATGTACAGAGGCTTCAGATTTCAAAATAACTTGTGCAGTATGTGCAAGGAGTTGAACATGTGCTACTAATGAATTGCACAGAGAAAAACGGCTCAAATATAATATTAATTGCAGAAAACAGCCTTAAATAGTATTAAGGTTATGATTGGTGGAAAAAAGGCCACAGACGCAAAACTAAGGCCAGAATTTTTTTCTAGACCTTAGTGAAATGAGTTCTTCCTCATTTATTAGCATAGTTTAGAAATTTAAGAGTCATGTTGAAGTCAGATTTAAACATAAAAATATTTAATCTCAAATATCTTCATCCTAACACTCCAAAATAAACACACTTGCTAAACCTTTTTTTTTAAATTACCAACATCAAAATAATGCCCCCTAGTTTTCCATACTCAGGCTTTTTAAATTCAGCCAATTTTCTCTTTTCGTAGGAGAAAACAGCATCTTGGGGCTAACATTTTTTGTGCTACAATGTGTAGCAGAGGCATTTGTTAGTAACTCAAAATGTCACTTCTAGAATCAGTAGATTAAACAGTGAACTATGAATATGTTGAATGATCTTCTTTTACTGATTCTTTTAATATGACAGAGATGATGGCTGATAAAGATTGCAGTGCCACATATTACTACCTAAATCCAAGTTCACATCTAAGAGCAAGAGAAAAATCAATTAAAAAAGGTCTAGCTTATTATATGATGACCTTACTTGAAAGCTTAGTTGCTTGGCAATGATTCATCTACCTAATAAATGTTGTCAGACATAATTAGAAAAAAATACTGAATAAAATTTTCCATATGTTTTATAGAAAATTTGTTATTTCACACTTGAAATCACAGATAGTTAATCAGCAGATATAAGTTGTCTTAGCTCCACTGAAAGCAATGCAATTTTTTGTCATCAGAGGATCTGCCTCTTTTCTTTGATGATTTTTAAATGTTTATCTGTATTAAATTTATAATGCTGATTTTTTAAAGAGGTCCCATAACTTCTTGCATAGCATTAGGACTGATTGGGAATTTTCCATAAATCAGAACAGTCCACAGCATAGAAAGAATGTATTTACTGTCATTTGTTTTCCATCTATGCACTTGGTCTAATAAAAGCATTACTATTCCCTGCAGTCTTGCCATGGCTTATTTCTTAGTGGCTTTTCAAAGAGACATTTGAAAATATCAAGTGGTCAGAGATTCCTGGAACTATTAAAAATAGCCAAGAAAATGGTTATATTGAGAAGTATAGAAACTATGAAAGTAATTAAGGTCTTTATATACATAAATTCTAAATAAACCTCTGAAAGTATCATCCTTATAGTTCAATGGCCTGATTCTTCCTATATTCTTCCTAACAACAGCAAAATTATTTGCATTCAATCATTCCTGGAAGAAGACAAATTCACTGTTTTAAATGAAAAAAAAAAAAATCCAGATGCCACAAGTGACAATAAACCAAAAGTTTTCTGGAGCATCAGCAGCAAAAAGTGAAAATGTTAACTATGTTATTCTCTCTGCTGCATACCTATATGGACTTTTAAATTCCCTGCAACAGCTGTTGCCTTCTCCTCAGTCAGTATGGGGTTTAGTTGGTAATCTTTGCTGAGATTGAATCTGCCTAAAAATGTTTCCCAAGGAAGAGTCATTGCCACGAGTTTTTATCACCTAAGCACAGCTGCAGAAGGTCACTGTTCCCAGTATTGATGCAATCAGTTGAGTTTCCTGATAAATGCTGCATGCATTGATACATTAACATTCCCTGCACCAATACTGCTAAGTAATAGATTTGCACATCTGTACTGTTACTAAAGCTCACAATGCCAAGGCCAAATTTAGCATGTGTTTTTGAAATAATCTGACTGCTTGCATTTTAAATATCTAATTATCAGTATGGTTTTTACCTTCCTGGATATGTCACCAAAACTGCTGTAAGAGGTAGCTTTGCACTTCAAAGTGAAATGGGCTTGAATAACAAAGTATGCAAGCAAACAAAAGTGAAATTTAAAACTTTCATACAGAGGTTGCTAAATCTCTGCTACTCCAAAATATCTTTTGGGTTTGATTTCTGACATTTGAGCACTCTACTGTGTGTTGAGAATCTGAAGCCTTTGCACCATCAGTCAGGAGAATGGCATTTGTACAAAGAAGGAAATAAATAGTGAATGTTTTTTCCAGTTACATCAACACCTGGGTTCTTGTATCAGGAAGCCGAAGTCCTACCAGACCTCCACATACTAGAACAGTAGAAGCAAGGAGAATAGGGATTGCTTTGGTGATACCAACAAGGGAACCGAATATTAGGTTTCCAAGTACAGCTGCAGCTTTGCATAGTGCATTCAGAAAGCCAAAGCCTGTTGCCCTAGAAGAGAAAACAGAAGAAAGTTAAAATACAGGTGAAAGAGTAACACCTTTGAGACACATCCTCAGTGCGAATATATCAGTACAGTCCCAATAGCTTAAAGAAAATTTATGCCAATAAGGATTCAGTGCTCTTATTCAGTGCTCTTATTTGAAATGAGAAGTTAAAGCTCAGCTGCTACAGTATTTCATTGAGGCAATTAATTTTTCTGCCTCAGGGATCAAAATGCGAAATGAATGACTGAACAGGTGAGTTTGCACCTCTAGAATTGAACATGGAACTTGCAAATGGAAATTCAGTAAGACTTAAATGGCTACATTAGGAGAGCAGACATGTCAAGTAGCTCCCAAAGGACAACTGCTTTGTCATCTGTGTGATGATTATTAATCAGAATTAAAGGATGATCATTTTAGGGTACTGAATTAAAACTGAGTTTCTTACAGGTGGTACAGATGTTGAAACAGTGCTTTTTCAAAGGCTAATGGGACTTCCAGTATTAAAATGAATGTTCATCTCTTAGAGGTAAAGAAGATAAGGTATAAAAAAATCTGTTGGGTGAAAGAAGTATCTGAGAAACTTTGGACAAAAGAAAAAGGAAATAGACTGCCAAGAGAAAGTATGACACCCGTAATTCAGGTGGAGTCTTGCATTACAGTGATGTGATTTTAGTAGTCTGAAGTATTTTTATATTTTGTAATTCTTGCATATATGTCTTATGCAAACTGCCATAATTTAAATTGTGTTTTGACATGACTGTATGATTCATTGATGCAGGAATAAGCTTGCCCTACCAAAAGTTTCCTAACAAAGATATCTGTGTAATGGTAGAATGTGTAACATTTGTCAGCTCTCTTAGAAATTCAGGAAAATAGTTGTTCTAATTTTCAGAACAAAATATTTCTTGCTTGTACTGCAATTAAAAGCCCTAGTCTAAACAACAGGAATTAAGAGAAAAGCTAGTTTTCTAAGTGACATAAAAGGCTCTGCTTATTCTACTGAAGCACCTGTGAGTGAAAGGAAGAACTCTTATGCTCAGATGTAGACTGAAATCCTGGGAAGTTTGAAAAGCTTCTACTGGAGCTACTAAAGAGGAGCCAAGAGAATCAACTTGAAGTACAAATACTTGACTCCAGCTGAGAGCAAGGATACAGTGTATCAATGCTCTTTGCAGAACAGATTTTTGGTTTTGAAAACTGCAAACAATTATATCAAGGCATGAGATATCCTCTGTCTGAAGCAACTGATTGACCTGGCCACGGCCCAGAGTGTCAGAGTCCACCTCCTCTGCTCTTTGGCAAATCTGTACCTCAAAAGCGTAGATCAGTTAAGCCTTTTTGTGTCATGCTTCCAGGCTGTCTGCTTGGGGAGTGGTAAAGGATTCAGTCTGGGAGAGATGACCACCAGGATACAGGGGCTTTCAGCACTGTTCATGCCCTGTCTGGGACACTGTGCTTCAGAACAATAACAGTCCTGGTATATTTGAGGACCCTTCATCAAAAGAATTCTGATGATGACTAGGTCTAGATCCTTCTTGTATATTCCTAAAATACTGTGGTTCACTCTAAGAAACATAATTCCATCATTCTAGTTAACCCAAAAAGTCAGCTCCACAATAACAACATTTGGAGTGTTCCCTTTTGAAATAATGGAGCCTTTCCTTTTGAATTCTTAAATAATTTAAAATAATGTCTGCATGTCTTAAGACATGTAATGTACTAATTAATACACCTTCAAATAGTTTTTTTCCCATTACATTAAATATTTATTTTCTATTGTTGCAGACCAAAGTCAGTTCCCTTACATAAAATGTTATAAAAGTAAATTTAGAAGAGTTGATAGTGTCCTAGTGTCAGCTTTGTGTATTATATGTCTTTTCTGAATCTGGAACAAAACACAAATTACTTTTTTTTTTCTGGATGATTACATATTTATGTACTATTAATCTGGCAATATGTCTCTTGCACCCCCTAGCAGTATTTTAATCTCTGAAATGTCTAATATTTAGCAAAGAAATCACTGTTTTTTCTGAAATAAGCACAATTCCTCTTTGTGTAAAGCACGGCATCCATCCAGACAGTGCATGACACTAAGTATTGGCAGTATCAAAGGAAAAAGAGAGAGGTCATTTCTACAGCTGAGTAGAAACTATCCAAAAAATCTGTGGGAATAAACAAGTAGAAGAGACCTAGATATGCCTCTTACATGTTCAAAGTCCTTATTTACTTGTTTTATATATATTTGATTGAACCTGCAGTACTTTTACAAAATACATAGTGCCAGGGAAACCTAAACATGCACATCTGGGACATAACAATTTTGAAAATGACAGGTTCTGCCCTCTGGCAGCCAGGACCCCCAAGGGCAGCCAGAGAGCACATTGCTGAGAGCAGCAGATGAGGAAACTTGGGGGAAGTGTTGTGTTTGGAAATTTCTGACAGAGAAACATTTGTAGCAGCTCCTTGAAAATACCTTTTTCAAAGGAGAAACGAGCAAGGTAAAACATTCCCATTCTAAGTACGCCCTTTGGAGGAATGGGTCTGAAGGGGGAGCATGAGATACACTGAAGGAAGCAAAGAGCATCCTACTGGAGTGAATTTCCACAGCCTAGGAGAAAATAAGCAAATGTCTAGCATGGCAACATTTGTGCTCCAGGGACATATAAAGCCCAAAATATCTGGAAGAATATGACCCAGGATGGGGTGTAGCTACTGAGAGGGAAGGAGCCCAGACTGGTGGATCTTGTAGCGTTCACAAATCACAGAGTGGGTAAGGTTGAAAGGGGGCACAGTGAGTCACCTGGTCCAACCTCAAAGCTCAAACAGGGTCATTTTAGACCAGCAGGTCTGTCCCCAGCCTGCACTGGTTATTCTTCCTGAGGTGCAGGACCCTGCATTTGCCTTTGCTGCATTTCAGATGGCTCTTCTCTGCCCATATCTCCAGCCTGTCAAGGTCCTTCTGAAGAGCTGCACAAAGCATGCAGGTAGGCAGGAGATTCTTGAGGAAAGGGCTTTGTTAAAATAGACAAGCAGGTGGAAAGAGGTTAAAGATAACACAGTTAGACTGGAAAACCAAGTTTATGTGATAGGATAACACAAGATTGCAGCTATTCTGAAGAACTCAAGGGAAGAAGGAAAGGAAAAGAGTCAGAATGGTTGTAATGTTAGCCTCATTTAGGCACAGAAAGTACTTCTAAAGTTATGGTGGTGACTGGTTGAGATCAGAGTCTGCACTTAAATACGATTTTCTTGGTTTTCAATGCTGATGTAAAATCAAACTTAACTCCAAGTAACAGTAACAGGAAAAAAACCCACAGAAAAACTAGACACCTAGTCATCAACAGCCTCAGTATATTCAGAGATACCAGAACTCCCCAAAGAATACACAGATCCAGCTAAAACAAATTCGGATAGATACAGGCAGGAAATCTTTGGAAAAACAATACCACAGAACATATGGGGATGCTTTACTTATGTTTAATGTTGTTTTATACTACCTTATAAAGAAAGGTAAGCTGTTTCACAGATGTTAGCTGCTTATATCAACTAGTTATGACAGTGGTCTGAATACAATTTTCTGAGCAATTTGAACCGTTTCTTTTCATGTTCTGATTTCTACAGATGCCACTGTTCTTTAGACCTACTATTGATTATATACCCAACATTACTATATCAGGTTCTAAGGTAATTTTGTAATACATACAATACTTCTTCTGTCTGAACAAAATAAAAATATTTTTATTGCACTTAAAAACCAATTCTGTTTGTAAAATTGACTTACAGAATTTTGCTGATTGTAAGGGGTTTTTATTAGTCTAATCCCATTAGTATTATCAAAATATAACCAAAAAAAAGTAAGAAAAAGTAAGCTCATTTTATTGCTCTTAGCTGTCCTGATAATTAAAAAATTAACAACCCAGAAGAAGTTGGATCTTTTAATCTTTAAGCAGATTTCAGTCATGTCCTTTTGCCTAAAATAAGCACATAATTGGCATGAACAATAAGATTTTAACAAGCTTAGAGTAAATTGCTGTTATGACCTGTACCAGAAAAGCATTGTCACTGTTTAATCTTATACCTTCATACCCTTCAATTTTAATACTGTGTTTGAATGTGTTTGTACTTACAGTCAGAACAAAGTGTCAAACCATTATGGAGCTCTAGGTGTAGCAAATTCAGACTGCTTGCTTTTTTAGAACATCCTTCTTAGAACAGTGTTTGTGTTTAAAACTCTTTAAAATCTGTATTAATTCATGCTTTTATAATTAATTCTTCTGAATCCAGGGAAATAAAAATAGCCAGGAAATAAGTATGCTGCAAATCACACGTGTATGACTACAGTCTCTTGCAGCATTAGTACAGTAGTCTCTGTTACAATGTTTGAGGAAAGTCCAAGAGTGTCAGCAAATGATTAAAGTTATGTATCATCTTAGCATGATGAACAAATTAAGTGAAAAATTCCAAGGGAATAGCACCATTTATATATGCACCCATTTTCTTTGTGTTGACCCATTATTGGACAAACATTTGCACAAAAATGTCATGTTGACCTCATGGGTAATCCTCATTACTGGTCAAGGGAGACCAGTCATAAGTAGCAAGAATTCTTCGTCCAGCTAGAGAGTTCATATAAGTCTTTCAGGCACGTCAGTAAGAAAATGCTGGTTAATCAATTTAGCATTGTCTTAAAAAAACCCCAGATACAGAATTTAGTATTGATAGGAGAAAAATGCAAATGTCTTTAATAAAAATGTCAGCATGAAGAGAAAGCTGGATGTTACTGAAAAGGAATTTTCCCCAATGTATTTTACTTCTGCTGTTGAGAAAGCTGTGACAAAGAAAAATGCTTAGCTTCCTTTCATCCAAGGTCCACATAAAAATGGCAAGAGCCCAAACAGTTAAAAATAGAGGGATTATCCAAGCCTTTAGATTAAAAGAGCTTGTTTCCTGATTGCCACATATGTTCCTTCTTAGACCAGGTGCTTGTATTCCTACATAAAATACTTCAGATCCACTTTTCCACTGCTGATAAAGTATCTAAAAACTTCATTGTCCTGTGGCAGAGTGCTACTAAATGTGCAGCACAAATATTTGTTATCTATCTTGCCAGAGCAATTTACAAAAACAGCAAGGTACAACACAATGTTGTTAGAATTGATAATATGTAAAGAATTAAACAGAGTATCCAAATGTTCTATGGACAAGTTTCCATGCCCAGATATTTTTATATTCTCTTAAAAAATTAGTACAGAACTACATATCATGTAGTTCATGGCTTGATCAATTATAGTGCTTAGCATGCAAGTAAAACTGTGGAATTTGCCTTCCTTCCTCGGACTACTGCAAAAGGCATAGGTGTGGCAGGTCATGCCTTAAGAAATTTAAAATTTCAGCAAAATGTAGTTGAACTATATCCACAGGATGAGAGTAGAAAATAGCTGTCAGGAAATCTACTGTAAGTCAATTACTGCTATTATGACTCAAAAGAATATAAAGTTTCTCTTCTTTTTCTTCTCTTTGTCCACACCAATACAAACCTGGCGATAAGATACTGTGAGAATAATATTTATTGCTCTGGGCATAGATCCTAAGGGTTGAAGAAGTGAAAAAATTAAAAATCATGAACTGAAGATAGACTTTTTTCTTAATTATGGCCAAACCCTTATGAACCTTTTTTCAGGGGCATTTAAAAAAGGGAAAACAGGACGACTTAATTTTATAGATCACCTTGAATTCTAAGTATTCCTGGACAAGATTCAAACCCAGATCTATGGCAGCCATAGAAAAATGATGAATGGTTTGTTATCTGATGCAATCTGATTAATTCTCTATGTGGGAGACAATCTATTTCTATTCCACTTTCTATTTAGGTTTTAGTTATTTGTTGTATCATCTTTCTGATGAGAATCTTGGCTTATAATGCTGGTGCTTCCCAAGTTCACAAGAAGATACTTACCATTTATGTGAAAGTAAAAATTGCTTTTATAGTAATAAAAATGTCCTAAGCTTCCTCCTTCAGAGAACTTAAGCTTTCTTCCATCCGTATTTATATTACAGGCAGAGCTGAGGAACTGTGCAGTGTGATTGCAGGCCCCTTGGGCACACATATTACAACACAAGCTGTAATTACCTCATCACATAATATTTTTTTTCCACATCACTCTGCCAATGTAGAGAACAAAGAGGGCTTGAGGGTAAAATATAGAGGTAGTGAAGAAAACTTAGTTTCCCTCATCTACTAGAGAAGTTGGAAGATGCACTGTGAATAAGATTGGGAACTGCACAATGAGAAAACAGTTTCATGGTTAAGAGAGTGGAGTGCTGTCAGAAGAAAGGATAAAATCCCTGCTCCTGTCGCAGAATTTGCGTATGATGCAAGCAAGTCCCAAAAAGCTAACAAAATGATCTTTAAGCACACATTTCATATTTTCTAGGTGCTCAGCTTAGCACCTTCAGGTTTATGTTGCTGGAGTGCTAGGCACCTATGGCTGTATTGAAGTTACACTTTCAGCCCATTCCTCCTTCTAAAATGCTCAGTGACTGGAATTTTTGGTGTCACACACTCCAGCCTACAGATTTCTTCTCCTGATGATAGCAGAATCCATTAAGAATATAAGGTAAAGGACAAGAGAAGAGACAAGAGCAAATAGAAGTTCTTTATATTCTTGAGCTGTATTAATTTACTTGCTTGTTGAAAATCACTAGTTAGTTTATATCTAGCTATCATGAGTGTCTTTTAAAGTTTGTGTATTTAAAAGTTTAAAAAATGGTAGAATATTATCAAAATATTATTAATAACTTCATATATATCATCTAGAAGACAGAAACACACTTATGACCAACATTAGTAACATTATTTTCTATTTGAACACAACTTCCTCATTTACCTGAGAACCATTTGAAATGTATACATCCTCTAATATCTATTACAGCAGTTGTACAAACCAGCTGATGTTTTATGAAGAACGTGAAAGCAAAAGCTAACCTAAAATAGTATAAAATTTGGCAGTACTCATCAAGAAAGTAGGACAAACTAGTTACCTCAATTCCAGGGATTAGTAAACTAAAATGTAAATATATTGATGAGTGTGAATTTATACAGAATCGAAATCTGTCAAGATTTTGAAGCAACTATAGCTGATGAAGAATAAACTGAAATGTGTACCCTGTATCACATAGACTGCACATTGCCAAACTGTTTACCACACTCCTACCTGGCTAAAAGCCAGTATGATCCCTAAATAGCTAGAGTGCGATTTATGAAACACCTTTCATATTATACTGCATGACACCAGCAAAGCCCCTGCAGTTCAGGAACTGGCTGGTCTCCAAGAGGAGGAAAAGGAGAGGCTACCCAGTCCAGCCTCCTGTGCATGGTAGCATGAACTGGCCTCCTTCCACCCATCTATCTTTGAGCCCAACCTCCAGCATCCCTTTGCTGCACATTTGTGGTCATTTCACTGATAGGCTGTAAGAAAATAGTATTAAACGCTGACAGAGTGAGGAAGGATTTTGTGCTTAGATTCCCTTTACAGGAGAATCTGAAAGCCAGTTTCAGGACCAGATTCACTCTGGAATTTGTTTTGGTTTTGCTTTGTAGCAAAAGAGAATGTCATCTTAAGTACGAAGGATTTTATATGATAAAACAGATCAGGAAGCTTCATGTTCCACATATGCTGAGAAAGGCTGTTCAGCCCTACAGTTACTTGCAGAAGCTGGAAATTCCCAGCAAACTGTGGCAAGCTGTGCCTGGTTATGGAGATCACAGGAGTCTGAGAAGGAAACCCAGGACTATGAGAGGTGAGCAATGCTGGTTGTTAAACTGCAGCTAGTCTGGATAAAAAAAAAAAATCGGACAAACATTCTTGTAAGTAAGTTATTTGAGTCCCTGAAGGAATTAATTTTCAAAAAGTTCTACAAAATAAGAAGTAGCTTTGCCCGTCTAAAAAAAAAATCTCGAATTGGTTGTTTACTCATAACCAAGCTGGCAAAAACTAGCAGTCATGATTCCATCACTATCAGAACTTCTGGGAAAAAGTCTCATCAAAAGCCTATGTCAACAATGTCTTTCCAGGCACAGGTACATTTACCTATCAGCTTTTTTGCACTGATAATTCAAGGGGACAAATTTTTTCCTCTGATTTGTTGTAAAAAACAACTCAGCTTCAATTAAGTTTCTGTTTCTGGACAGTAATTCCTGCATACAAAAGATTTTTAAATAGAGAAAAGTTGAGTAAGAAATTGCTATAATCCCAAAGCTAGAGGAATCTGTGAAAAACAACCACTTGTAGATACAACTGCAGATGCCTTAACATCTGTATAGATATATATAGATAAATATCAGTTAGATTCTTTTTATCATTCCTAGTCATTATTTTTTTTTTCCATTAACAGCAATGACTTTTCCAATAATTTTTCTTTATTTCATTTTAGGAAAACGTATGTGGCTATTACATTCAGGAATACCCAAAAGATGGTCATTTCTACAGGATATTTATTAAAATTATTTCATAGTATTTGGATTGTGGAAGAGTTCTTGCCAGAAGAGCAATTTCCTGAGGTGTATTAAAAATACTAGCACTTAATTTTGAAGCTCAGTGCCTGGGATTCATAAATAGACTGGTATCATTACTTGATATAATTAGAGCTGTGGACATCAATTTCTTGTCTGAAGAAGCACATAATTTTAAAATGACAATGAAAGGAAAACAGGGAAGCTAGTCTACACTTTTCTAAATCTCTTCATGGACAATGTTAAAGACAAGATAACTCCTTTCAAAAAAATTACACTTGCCAGTAAGGCATCATTCATTTATAAACTGGAAATATTTTTCAATGCATTTCAAATATCCAGTGGATGACATAATAGTTAGCACTGCAACAGGAGAAAGGACACAACGTCCTTTTTTAGGAATCTGGGAAATTTTATTTAAATATTTTTAGGAATTTGAGAGGGGAGAAGTATTCAAGTCATTTCAAGATAGCACAGCTTTTACATTTTTGCACTCCCCATACAACAGAATATGATTCAACAGTTCTTCCTTCAGTCCATTAAGTGGTGTAAGGTCAGGATTGAAAAGTGCCCTGTATCCAAAAAAACCCCCAACCTATGTTATCTAGTAGCAATGCAGAATTTGAAAATTGTCCTGAGATTTCCTTCAAGAGCCCTGAAGAGTCAAGAGCAGCGCCCAAGATAATTTTTACCCACTTAGTTTACACTGCATACAAATTCACAGCAGACTGATCAGCAGCACAGCATGGTTCAGACAGTGATTTTTATCAAGATTCCCACCATTTCACAGTCAACAGACAAATGCAGCTGTATTTCTGGTTTGGACCAACTACTGCCCTTTTATACAGTTAAACTACAGGAAACTCGAAGATACTCCATTATTGTTTTCAGAAATACTAGCTGTGTTTTAAATGGGAGTAGCTGTTAGACCTTCTGCTTTCAAATGAAACTACATGTATGGTATTTTCCTGATTAGGAGATGTTTCATGCAAATACTTACTAAGTTACTCAAAACCCCTCATTGTTTCCCGTTGTTTTTCATAGACAAATTATTAATTTGGCCCTCTCAAAACATCACTAACTCAGTAAGGCCCATATAAAATAATTTCTATTTGCCATTTCTGCTGGTACATAGTTTCAGTGAGTGTATGGGAGATGTAACTGCACATACCTTCTGTCTGTAGGATACAGCTCCACAGTAATAACATCTAGAGAGTTCCATGCTGAGATGGTGAGGCCATTGTAGAGGCACAGCATACCTATCATCATGGATTCGCTGGTCCCAAACCACAGGAAAAAACAGCTGATGCCAGAAAGAACCATGGAACCACCTAGGTACAAGGCAGGTGAAACAAACATGTAGTGGAGTTGTATATAAAGAATAACCTTTGTTTTGCCTTATATTTCTGTGCACACAGTGTAGCTAAGTAAGTGACCCAAAAATTTGAGTTAAAAACCAAAGAGACTTCCTCCACTGGTAAGGCCAGACAAAAAGACAAATCTTGAAGAAAGGAGGTCACAGAAAAAGATATGACTTCTCACATATCAAAATATACCACAAAGTATTAGGTTGGAAGCTTCTTTGAATTCCCAAAGCAAGATGCCTGAGCAAAACTACTCCCATTATTCTTAGATGATTATCTTTTGCAATTACATGAAACGTGTTCATATATTATAATAAAAATGCTGTATTTATTTTCATGTATTTATATAGGGATATTGTCCTAGAAAACAATGACAATGAACCACCACATAGTTATTTAAGCAAATTGAAAACAAATTTCTCACTGTAGACAATCCACAGGAGATACCTTTCAACTGTGTTCCTATGCAAAATAGATAACAGACAAAGAAGAGCTGATACTTTCCAGGAGCTGCTCCACTAGCTGAGGGTCACCTGTGCACACCTTTCCTTCCTTTCAGCTGGAGCAGAGATAAACCAATGGTCATCAGCCTCCAAAATCTCATTCTAAATGCCTGGAATTTAGAATTTAGACCATGGTCTTGTAATATCTGTGGAAGAGCAACTACAGGTGGCTACAGATCCCTTTTTTCCCTAGAGTTTCAAAACTGGGGGCTTTTAAAAATATTATTTATGATGGCACACAAATGACATATCTGCAGAAATAATGTTTTTCATTTCTCTAGCCAAATTCCTTGAAAAGAGGACATGTTACTTTTGAGGTTCCCTGTACCAAAGTGAAGCCCCTACCTAGCATCGTTAACCGTCCTATTCTATCCATCAGGAGAGCAGACACAATATTTCCTGGTAACACTGCCAAAGTTCCCAGGAAATTAACAAAGTAGATCCAGTAGGCACTGTAGTCATCATCAAAAGAAATCTGGCATCCTGTCCTGATGTGAAAAAATGTGCAATTTATCAATTCACTGTCAACAAATTTATACTGCTCGAGATCTGTGGAAAGAAGAAAAAGAATAATTTCAGCTAACAGCCAACTCCATGTGCAACTTTTGATTAAAAACATTTCAAATTCAAGCAAATGTAATGACAACTTGGAGCTTTCACAGCTTTGCAAAAAGGGCACTAGTTACTGCTGGTAATTTTGATAGTTTTTATCTTACTAGAAAAATTTGCAAAGCTCTTGAAAAGGACCAACTAAAGCCTGTAATTAGGAAGTTTTAGTACTATATGTTACCCTGGCTGGACTGTATTTGGTTAAGGCCTTTCAGCACCAGCTGGTCTTCCATAAAATGTGCTAGGTATCTGCAAGTTTCTATTACTCAGTCTTTCTCAGTATCCGGCCTACTATTTCCTGATGAGACTGTGAACTGTGGTCAGTTTGGTTTGACTTCCTTTAAGGGAAATATTCCCGTGGAATTTAGTTTAAACTGATTTTAGTTCCTGAGAAGGCCTCATGGTCTTCAGCTTGTCCATAGATGAGTTACTCTATGTAGTTGATTCTTCTGCCAATACCATTCCAGAGAACTACCCCTGTATTCCTTTTATTTTCCCATTCCTTTTGTCAGCCTTATAGACCTGAACCAAGAACACTTTCCTTCCACATTAAAGTCATTGCTTGCTCTGAAACCCAGGTCTGTTACTGTTATGACTGCCGTAGTTACAGGAAAGCGGGAAGAAGTGCCCCATCTTTTCAACAAGCTTAGTTGTCCATGTTCTACCTTGAGTTATGTTTTATTAAACTGGAAAAAAAGTAAGTCTTCTGTTTAAACATATGAAAATATGGATTCATATTTTTGTCACAATACTTAGGAGATTTGGAATGAATATAGACCAGGTAATTTGAATCCTATACTCAGATTCCCATGCCACAGCAAGCAGAGTGAACGAAGTATTTCACCAGACCCTTTTGCACTAAATAAAAATACAGTAGTTAAAGCTACCAGTAAAATGGTAAATGCATTTTCTTCTGTCCAGACTGAATCTCTTTGGAGATGGTTGAAATCAAAGATGAAAAATAAATCACTTATTATGTGAATAAAATAAATAATTCATTTTCTGAGGCACTATTAGGCCTGAAGTCTTTCTTGTGCAGTGAGATCCATTCACTTCTCTGTTGTAACAAGCTAAATTATTATGATTATGATCATTATTATTATTATTATTATTATTATTATTATTATTATTATTATTATACTACAAGAGGACTTCTTGTATGTCTTATTGGAAATCCAGAAATTATAAATGTAAGATGAAAACATGCATCTGACCAATAGGCATTTGAGGCTGTTTCTCATACCTGTGTTGTAGAAGGTGGTATTCACGAAAGTACAGTTCCTGAAGTATGTGTTCAGTGAAGTGATGTCTTCAAAAACACAGTTCTTAAAAAGTGAATCTTCAAAGGTTACTGATTTAAACTTCATCATAATAAACCTGCCCAATGCAAAGAATTGCTGTCAATTTACCTTCATAGTTTTGAAATAGCAACAGATGCAGCTGTTTATATCTAAAAAAATCTCAATCCCAGTAACAATGGTTCCTTTGATGCATTTTGCAGATGTGATTAATGATTAACTGATTCTAGAATACTATTGCTCAGAAGAATTAGTAAGACAAATAACACCACGTAGTTACTGGCCCAAATTGGTAATATAATTTATTTGATAATATTTCTGTTGTTACTTGTCCTTAATCATCAATCAAAACCAATGTAATGAAATTCATGATACAGCCTTGTGAAATCACAATTGCTAGTAATTTGACATTACACCTGGAAACAGGGAGATCATGCTTCAGATATTGAGTCCCTGGGAATAAACAAACACTAGCTAATACCAACAAGCTGAAAATAAAGAATTTTTAAAAGAATCTTGATTTGTCAGAAGAGCACACTGGTTACTGGGTTAGGCTCAAATGCAAAACATACAGGTGTTAAGCATTGTTTTCACAAATGGCTATAACATGAATAAAAAGTTACATTGCCAGTTACACAGCTAGACATCTAACTGTAAGTATGTCCTCATTAATTCTGTGCCTATGGATGCAATTATAGTTATAATTACTATGTACATAAAACATAAAAAATTTGCTGTCAGCTTTATTTATGAACATCCTCCTTCCTACTGACTCTCATTTAACCTAGATTTTATCAAAATAAAATTAGAAAAATCAGTGACAAATTATATTACTTACAGTGACTTTCTACCCCCATGTCACTAGACTAAAACAATGCTTTTTTGAGTAAGACTTTTTTAGTAAAATTCTACCAAACAACATGATTATGCTGACATCAGCAACCATAACAAATATGTGGAATGGCATCATTATTTTTGTGATGTCTTTTATTTCACATGAAGGTGTGGAAAAAAAGGGCAGATTTTGCTTCCAAACATAGATCCAACCTTATTCTAATCAAACCTAGTGTCACTAGCTAAGTATTATTCTTATAAGAAGAGTAATAGTAGGAATAGGAACACAAAAAATATGCTATCTACAAAGGAGCAGGAATTAAATTCTCTCACGAAAAAATTTTTTGGAACACATCTTTATGAGAAAGGAGAGAAAAAGCTAGTATTTATCACACTAAGTGACTTACTAACCAATGAATTCTTTTTTTGTATTGGTCAGAAGAATCGTGTTTTCAGACCATTAGTTTTAATTACTATATAATTTCTCATTTGTGACAGACTGATTAAAATCAGGCTGGAGTTACTCATTATCATTTTTCATACAGCAGTTTCCATTCTAAAATGTAGACTAGTTCCAGAAGAGAACAAAGAAAATATAGTGACTAGATTAGTAAGTTAAAACAAAAATGACAGAACTACATGTTCTACATTCTTCTGATGCACTTTTTACCTTCATACAGGAAGTATGTGACCACATTAAAATTGGTGTCACAATGATTTGAATTAAAACTCAACAGAAAAGCAATGTATTAAAAACTCAAGTATTGATGGATCTTCTCATTAAGAAAGAACATGAAGGAAACAGTGAGATTGAAGGTGAGTAGGGTATTGAAACATTTATGAAGCAAGGATATCAAATAGGTTCATATCTCCTGGAAAATGTTTTGTGAATCCCAAATAAGTCTCAGAGGCATATTAAATTTGCACATTTGAAAGAGTACATTACTGATTTACCATAAATTAATGTTAGATTTACTGTTTTACAAGAATATTCTGTTTAAATTGATACAACCTCAGTTACAGACAGTTCTCTGATTTTAGGAGAACATCTACATTCTGGAAAGAAGTGGGACTTGGAAGCTATGGCTAGGTTGAAAATTACATAACAGCTATTTTTTTCTTCTATACATAAACCTTTAACTATGTCAAAACTCAAGCACTACTACTAAATCATCACAAAATCAATTTTATTCACTTACATATAGATTTTCGTATGGAAATAATAATTACTTATTATCATGCCTTCCAGCAGACTATTCACATGGTTGGTGTGTACATTTCTTAATAGAAACCAGATATCTAAACCAGCTGTGTTTAATTTTCCCCTAAGTTATCTAGTTATTTGTGAAGTCCAGATATAGCCTTAATATATTTGCCTTTGGCTAAAAAAATCACAAAAGGCATTGCCAGGGTGGTGTTTCCCATTTCAGAGCTGTTCTTGCTTTTCATTGGTTTACAGTAACGTTTAGCTTTCATTTTTCTGTGATAAGATCCTAACCTCCCAATGTTCCGTCTGTTCACAGAAGTGTCTTTCATAAAAAAAAAAAAAAAAAAAAAAAAAAAAAAAAAAAAAAAAAAGAAAAAAGAAGAAGCAGCAACAGAGATGAAAGTACATCTTTTCCCAGCCCCCTACAATATACTGCATATGTTGGATCTGAAAACCTTTGAATCCCACTGTGAAAGGAAGTAAAATTGACGTAGGCTTTTTGGTCTGTTTTGCAGGAAGATGAGGAAGCTGGTTTTGCATGGTGGATCCTCACACAGGAACCACAAGGGCATGTACATTTCTTCCCATGCTCATGAGTCATAAGAAATTAAGAACAGAAATAAATATTCACTAAAAGGTAACAAAACCATCTATCATTACTTCATGGAAAAAAACGGGTTATTAGGATGAGCTCTAAAACATGCATCTGTTTATTCCAACTAAGCCAAGATATTAGGAAACCTCTAGACCTGTCATTGATGTATTCTCCATTGCTGTGAATCTGATTTTCCAGTGTGAAGTTGAAGACGAAATGTGAGACCTCCTCGTTGCGGAAATGTTTCACTCGGGATGCATACTCATCTGACTGCAGATGTTTAATGACATCAGGAAACCAGACAGATAAGCCATAGTAGCTGTGGAAAACCAGAAAAACTTCAGGCACCAATCTCACTCATTCAGAAATCTGCGCAAGGTGTGAATGAGCAGCTCCCTTGGACACTTATGTGACTGAGCTGTTGCTCCATCAGAACAAAATCCTCCATAATATAGAATTATTGAAAGATGCTGACACCAGAAGATGTCAGTTTTTCAAAGAAGGTATTCCTGATGAGTCAGGTTTGCAACCAAGAACAGACTAACTGACAAACACAGCATTTTGTGGAAAGATCCTGAATAAAACAGATGATTATAGTGTCAGAAATTTACATGCAGATGATTTTTCTGTCTGTCAAGACTACAAAAAATGGTTAAATCTCAACCACTCTTACCCAAAAGACAAGGTGAACCACACAGCTGTAAGTTTGATTGTATTATCCTTCACTGGGTAGTTGAAGCATCTCATAAATGTCAACCAAATCTGTAAATCATTATGAAACACATTTATTTACGTATCTTCATTTATTTTGAACAGTTTTCTTAAAGGCTAGAAGATATTTGATTCTTATTTGCTTGCTTCTACAGGGCATGAGAGAGAGCAAATCAGCTCTCTGGCCACACTTCTTTTAACGCAGGCCAGGATGTGATTTGCTTTCTCAGCTGCAAGCACATACTGTAGTCTCATATAATTTTTTTTTTTGCAACCAGGGTGGACTATGTACAAAAATTCAACCTTATTCTGATCACCCCAAGCTTTCTTCATCTCTAGACAGCTTCATTTTACTTTTTCAAATAAGCCAGGGATTGTCTCAGAAATGTTTTCTTCTCACTTCCCAGTATTAGACAAACTATATTCCATAATTAGGGATACAATCACAGTTCGATATATTGTAACCTACTATGGCTAGAAATTGATGCCTGCACTATATGAGGAAAATGTGGGAGTACCACAGGGTCAGAGACAGTGTAGTGGAACTGACTGAGAATGGTGTTCTCATCTCTCTCCCTCTCTTAGGAGAGGAGAGGAGAGGAGAGGAGAGGAGAGGAGAGGAGAGGAGAGGAGAGGAGAGGAGAGGAGAGGAGAGGAGAGGAGAGGAGAGGAGAGGAGAGGAGAGGAGAGGAGAGGAGAGGAGAGGAGAGGAGAGGAGAGGAGAGGAGAGGAGAGGAGAGGAGAGGAGAGGAGAGGAGAGGAGAGGAGAGGAGAGGAGAGGAGAGGAGAGGAGAGGAGAAAATCTGTTCTCAGAGGCCCCAATATATATCATGCAGTGATGACTCTGACCCAGGGTCTAGTCTAGTGATATAAGAAAGGATATGAGCCAACCAAGCTGCAGCTCCTTGAAAGCTGGTTTAGTAATATAACAGCCAAATAATAATATTTTAGTCTTCAAGTGCTCCATTTTTGGTCAGTAATTGTAAAAGTAGGCAGGTTTTGGCATTTTTTCTTTTCCCTGGGGAAAATGTGACTTTTCCTAAAAAAGTAATTTGTGACAAACCTCACTTAACAACACTTCATCATAGTTCTAGAGAGCTTGAAATGACAGATTTTTAATAGCTGTGAAAAGACAGTTTTGAACTTTTAAAAGATTAATTAATGAGGACTGTTTCAATTTTTGTTGCAAGGCTCAAAAGATACTATGTAATTTTGGTTTTACAGAAAAATTAACAAAAGGATAAGAAGCACAGTCCCAGCAAGCTTGTATTAAAATCTGAAATAGCTCTAAAATATTTTTCTGGTAAAACATCTGAAATACCTAAAAAATACATGCAGATACAATGCCTTACAAAGGCATTAATGTACACAGTTTATTAATGAATTTATAATTTTTAACTAATGTAGCTGCCTCGTTTTCCTCCTGATAATTTTTCATCTACTCGTGTATCACCTCCTTCCATACATATATATTGATCCACATTCTCAATACATAGTTATTTTGTGCTGTTTATGAATATCACCATGTAATTATTAGCCATCACTTCTGTGAGGACCAATGCAGCATTTTCCTCCTCTGAAGCTGGGATAAAGCTCTATGATTCACCTGCATTTTTCCTGGGTCAGGAAACCAAAACCTTACACTGGTTCCTTATTCCCTCAGTTGCATGGAAAATGTAGCATTGCAGCTATCAACAGCAGGACTCAGCAAATCCATCTAATTTCTGAAAGTTAATTAAAAAAGTGATTACAGAATGAACAGAGATGTTGTTACTTACACCATACAGCTCTGTGCGGATTCTTACAAAACACCTCCTGTACCAAGTTCCAGTATCGCTCTCAATTTCTATGAGCTCATCTATCTGTTTAGGTGTTTTGATTCTGGTAACCTAGAAATAAAAACAGAACAAAAATCATGAACTGCCTACAGAGAAGTGTTGCTGGGGTTTATTACACCCCAACTACTAAAATGAGCAGATACTCAACCTGTGTCTACACTAGACATGTTTTAGATTTATAAAGGAATATTAACACATTGTACTGCTGAAGTCTTTATGGAGGTAACAGTTTCAGAAAACTATGTTCAAGGCATGCAGGAAGTACATTTCCTCTGGCTACAATAAGCTGTTGCTATCATGTTCTTCTAGAGAGTTGTTGCATATACCCCCAACGCCACAAAGGATAAAACATTAACTTCATCCTCCAGTTAGCCATGCCCAGAATTTGCCTTCAAACTGTTTCTGATTTGCTATCACAACATTGTTGGAAGTGATTTGATTAAAGACACAACCATGAAAACAGAAGAATTCAAAATGTCGAGAATTAGTAGTTGGACAGCCTTTTATTATTTTGTTAGTTTTTCTAGTGTTAAACAGAGAATTTAATGAAGAGAGAAGTTAGGTAAAATTATCTGGAACCATGCATATTATTGCTGTAATGAACAATCATCTACTTATCTAAAGTGAAATGAGATAAACAGACATCAGGGGAAAAATACTGAAAATGACCAGTGATGGAGAATGTAATGCATCCTGCAAAGCTAATTTTTAATTTTACTCTCTTGTGTAGCAGAACCAGGATGTGGTTCTGCTACACAAGAGAGTAAAAGTGGAAAAAAAAAAGAAGCTAAAGATAAAAAAGAATTAAAGGAAAAAGGAAAATTAAAAGGCAGAACCATGGTCTTTCCAGACACAGGACCTGACAAACATATAGTAATGTATGGTTTCTGTTTTAGTTTCTGCTCTGGTCCCAGCTTCATAATGATATCACAAAAGGCAGTGTATTCATCCACAATTTATTTTAAAAGATGAGTCGAGAACAGAAAGAAAATTAATAAAGTAGGAAAAGGGACTTACACAGAAGGAAGGAGGGAGCAAGAGACTGCATGTTTGGTATTTGGCTGCAGTTTCAGAAGTTAGACATAGTTTCTGTTTCTTCTTAACAGAATGAGGACAACCCTGCCCCCACCTCTAATGTATCACAGTGGATTACAGGACATCAGGGAATAGCAATATTGATGATAAAGGTCAAGTTTTGAGCCCACTGCTTTTACAGATGTATGCTGTTTGAGATGCAACAGCAGCCTCATCCCATGAACAAGAACACAGAAAAGCCCACTAAGCAGTTTGAGGTATAACTACCCTCATTTCTGAAGTACTACAGCTCACTGTTTTGCCAGATCATGACTTTATCAAAAGCCTGTAAACTTCTTGTTAATGCCTCTTCCAATAATCATGTCCACATCATTGCACTCATCTCAAGCTTTTCTTAAACTGCTTTCAGGAAATATGTTATGCAAAAGACTGAGTCAAGTCCTCAAAAATCATGTGGTATCTCCTACATACAGAAATCCTTACATACCTCTCCTCTGGGCAGAAAAGAAATGCCTTTTGAATTTCACGCTTGTGGGTTCAGGGACAGCATTTTCACTGTACTGGGCACCTGACTCAGTTGGAGCTGTGGAGATTGAGGGAAACATATGTGTCCTGCGACCACTGTATGTGGCTGGGGACAAAAGTTCCCTGGCCTTGGTGGCTCTTTAACATATGAAAAGTCCTATTGGGTCAGGATAATAGTCCATCTGGAACATGCAAATTCAGCATGTCAGTGTATGAAGAATGAAAAAACACCAAACCCAGAAAAGAAAACCTATTTTAATGAAAATGATGCTTCTGTTTAAAAGCAATGGTTAGAAATATGCAATGTTTTACATTTTAAAAAATCAAGACTTGTTGCAAGAGAAATATTTGCAGGAAAAGGAATCAATACATGGCAATTGAGGAATGGATAAAAATTTGATTTTAGGATGCATTTTGATTTTTTTTTTAAACTTAAGTATTTAAACCAAGAGATTTAATGAATAGGTATTTTAAAAACCCAGGAAGATAATAAAGCATGTACATAAACGTCTAACTTTGGTAGTTCCATGATTGAAGATACTATCAAATTATTGATTTCCATTAGTGTTACTGCTTTCAGGACAAATTCTTCGTGGTATGAAGATCTACCCTCTAAATTAATCCAGGAACCAGAATATTCCATTTTGGATTAATTCTAAACCCAACTACTTGTCATTTGATGCCATCTCTTTCAAAGACTTGAATATAATCCCCTCAATAATGTGAGTAACAAGAAAAAACATAACCTGAGGGGGGAAAAAAAGCTTCAAGAAAAAGATTAGACCAATATAATACAGGAAAATGCATAAAAGAAAATTACACTAAAAGTATAGGTGTAATGGAGAAAAAGTTACATTGTCTGTAGAGTCAGAAAACCTACTATCAAAGTGTGTCTGATGTAACTAACAACATTAAGTGGAGGAAAATAGTAAAGCATAAATCATAGAATGGCATTGGATAAGCAAATGAGGAGAACAGAAAATATGTGAATAAATTAGTAAGACAAAATGTCACAATATTGAGGACTAACAGAAAAAAACCCTAAAAGGATATGTCAAAAAAATTATGCACAAGATCTTTGCTTTCTGGGTTTTATGAGATGAAGTGCTGATGTTGTACAAAAAGAAGAGAATGATGCATTTTCTAATCAATTTAATGCAAGCTAAAAATAGGGACTTCTATATATGTCTAACCTTGACACACAGAGCCAGTATTTCTAGTCTCAACTTGATATATGGAGTAGAGTTTTCCTAATGCTCAAGGCAGAAATTGGAAAAATTAATGGCTGACCAATTTACAAAAGTGACTGTAGATGAAGTGTCTGAGCATCACATTTTAACAACCATAGAGACAAAGGCTTGTTAGATCACAAGAGCTGGAAACAACAAGCATGTGCTTTGCTTTGTTCTTGACAGCTGCTTTGGGACGTGATTACAATTACGTCAAAGTGACGTGAGAGGTTTATCCTTTTGCCCACATTTTCTCCTAGCACATTTCTGTTCTTCTTCCTTGTCCTTAAACCAATACTAAAGGGGGACAGGGTCAGCACTATGGCTGACTGTGAAATCAGTCAATGAATATCAACAGTAGCAGAAAAAAAAAACCCTGGAGTCACCAGGAGCAGGCATATTCAGTCTGAAAGCTGCTCAGATCAGCAAGAGCCAATTGTGAAATTACACCATAGCTGTATGGTGCTAGGCAAATCCCTTTACTCATAAATTAAATCAGAAGATAAAATATTAGATTAGGTGGGATTAGGGGTAGGTCACCAGTGTACCAACAAATGTGGATTTAACATGGTAAATGTGCTAACCAGCTTTCTTTCAAGTTAAATACAGGAACTCTTGAGCTTCTTTGTGGAAAGGTTTAAATGGAAGCAATGGAAACTACATTCAAGGCAGCAAACACAAATCTCAGTGGAATATAAGTTATGTGGTCAGATGGTCGTTCCTCAAGACTGCCTGCAAATGCAGAACCTTTAAGAGGATTTCTTAATTGAGTTACATGTGCGTTAAAATAAGAAGAGAGCTTCTGGAAGAGGAAAAACATCCCACACACGGCTCTGAGGGTGCACATACTGCCACAGCACTGCACAAGCTGGAGAGGCCAACTGGATTTCAAAGCAAGAAAGTGCTGTTTGATACTTCCCTGTATCCAAGAAGACAATATTGTTTTGTATTGTCATCATAAACAACAAAAATGCCATAAAAAATTCTATTTTTGAATTGGCAATTTCTCCTCCAATAGAAACAACTCATCAATACTTTAAATAGGGTTTTATAATTAGGCCTCAACAAAATTAATTTGAGCCCTTCCAGACATTTTGAGAATAGTAAATGTTTGAAATTACTATTTCATAGAAATGAACATGTAGTTTTTAAAACCATTGTGTTACCTGATAAGAATAGGGAAAAATTCCAAATCCTAATGGCACAACAGCTAACTAATTTGGACTATGTGCCTACTGTTAGTACTAAGGGTCAAAATTTAATAAATAAAACATGGGTAGAATCTATTAACTATCTTGGTACACCAGATAAAATTATCATGCTGTGGCTTTATACATCCATGAATATCCTGGCCAAAGGCTGATTTTTGAGCAGACATATATATAACAATTTCAGTAGGAATTCACAATACCTTTTATTTAGAAATTTAGAGTGCCAAAAATTGGCTTAGCCATTTAGAGAATTAATATTGATTGCTTAAGCTGTCCAGACCTCACCAGTCAGGAGGCCTGCTAATGTGATAGGAGATTAGCTTTAAAAGCAATACTCACAGTGAAGACTTTCTCGGGCTGACCACGAGCACGCATGTTTGTGTCATGAATTTGCTTGAGTATCATCCAAGCTTCATCGTGTTTTCCGACCTAAATGTTAGAACAAAACATACATACAAATTGAGTTACTACTTACAGTCCCTGAATGATCTAAATGCCTGTTTGGTAGAAGTCATGATATAAAACAGAAATAATTTTCACTGGAATCTAGAAACCATTTGGGAAGTTATACCTCCAGCAGGAACCGTGGGCTTTCCGGCATAAAGGTGAGGGCAACCACTGAAGAGACACAAGGCAGTGCACAGACAATCACAAATACTCGCCAGCTGTGGAACTGGTAGGCAGAGCCCATGCTGAAACTCCATCCTGTGGAAGCAGAAATTCACAAAATGTATAAGGAGTATTATATGTGTTATCCTATATATGTTGCTTCATGTACATACAAAATGATACCTGTATTTAAATGAAGCTGGACTGATATATTTCCAGAAATACTGGCCACCTAGAAAGTAGTTTTACACTATGACTTTTTGCCTCTTGCATGTGACAAGTCATACTGGAAAGTGGTTGTATTATGGATGAAAAACTTTCTTGTTTAGAGATGAAGAAGCTTCTTTAAATTCTCTTAACAAAATCTCTATTAAGGTAGTTATGTGAACCAAACAGGAACATCATCACCATGCATAGGAATATATATACAAAAAAATAGTTTTCTATGAACAATGGAAGTGAAGAGACTTAAAAAACTACACACAAATTATATATTTTATGGAATTGTATAGCTCTCCTTAACATTGACTTTTTCTACAAAATTGATTTCTTTACTCTTAATAAGAATCACCTATGTGAAACTGGAGGACTGGTAGTTCAGCTTTTTAATAAAATATTTGGTTGATTGGTATATTATGACTGGACTATTGAAATGTTATAGATATAAGAAAACTAAGAATTTATCTTAAGAAAGAGAAAAGTATTATTTGGTAACCACCTGGTCTTTAGTCTGGCTTCAGCACAGCAGGAATTTTCAAGTAAAATTTTCAAGGATAATTTATTAAAAGGTGACTGAAGATAAGAACAATGGAAAAGGACAGAAGAGGTTACTGAAAGAAAATGAAGTCTTGGGTAATGAAAGAACTGATACACTGGATTAATCTATTATTTGCTACCTGATTATTCTAGGCAAAAGACATAGTTAAATCCATCTGGATGTCAGTAAACAACCCGTAGGATATAGTAACAACAGGCCTATTAAATAGTTCTCCAAAGGAGGTATTTATGTGAGAAATGTAGTGTAAAGATTGGAGTGTAAAGATTCTATGCTGTGGATCATAAACACATTATTGGGAAAGATTTCTTTCTCATATTAATGTACTTACATACTACCACATGAAAAATACAGATTTATTTTTATTCTTTATCAGTGTTTTGGTGAAAAATCTTGATGAACAGATGTGGGAATGTGTGTTTTTCTGGTCTCCTACAAATTTCCTATGTTTTGGAAATTATATTACTTTGCTCTGCAGCCATTTAGCACTGCCACCTTTACCTCAGGGAGAAAGGTATAAAATCTATAAGAGTATTGACAATGATCTTGGAATCCCATGTCATTTTTTTCAAGTAAGACTCCATATGGACATACTTTACTGCTCAAAATATCCTTCCAACTGAACTAGAATGTCTAAAAATTAATGTTAAATTTTATTCAAAAATATAACTGGAATTAAAATTGACAAATAAAATTGTAAACAAAACAAAAACAAAGACATGAAAGTGTATTAGAATTCACTATTTATTGATTTTTGGAAAATGTTAACATTTGATCTTATGGAATTTCAAGACTTAAATAATGTGGGTTTATTTTACATCTAAATTGTGAAGGGAAGTAAAGAAAGGTTTACCGTGTGTTAATGAAGCAATGAGAGATCATAGCTGTGTTTTGGATATTGTGTACACATTTTATTCTAATAATTAGAATAATATACTTCATTATGTAATTTAAAGTATAGAACAAAATCATCTAATACAGAATTATTTGGTGAAGTTATTTTTTGGTCTGACAGTGAGCTGATCTGAATCTCTGAGCAGCTGTGCAATTGCTAGTGCTGCAGGGAAGGCAGTACAGGGTAGGAGTTTCATTCTTTCAGAATGTTCAGTATCAGTCAAGGTACTGGCTTTTGTTGTTACTAAAAACTGTTCCAGAAATACACGAAGCCACTGGAATAGTCAAGCAATCTGCCTTTCATGGCTCCAGTTCACGTTTTATGAGATTGAGCTGTACAAAGGGCAATTCTGCAGTAAATGAAATCAACCTGAATTTATACCTGTTACAAAGCAACAGCAACATCTTGTGCTCTGTAGCCAGTCCTGGAAAATGCTCTTGGTAATTTATTTTTAGTTGTCATTTATTAATATAAGTGAACCATACTACACTTAATTAAAAGCAATAAATGCACTGTTCATTCTGCTGTCATTGTGACAACCTACAAAACATCTTTTTTACTCCTCAAAATACCCGAGGGACATGTCAGGTGAAATGTTCATTATAGTTTTTATTGCTTTTGTTCCATCTTTTTCACTATGTACTGTATTAGCTGCTGCAATTTGTCTTGTGATTTAATGTATCTGCCAAATTAATGATAAAGAGGAATGTCATTATTATAAAAAACAATTTTAAGAAAAAAAGCTGGAGCTGCACAGAGCTTTCCAGAGGTTTTTCGTCCCATCTACTCCAGCACCAGCACTAGATGAGCAAAACAAACATGTATTTCAAATGCACAGCAAGTTTGGATTTATTTTTATATTTAACACATCCTTTTTCCCTAGGTCATGAGCTAATCTGGATAATGGAGCCATTAGAGCAGCTCTGAATTTAGCTCACAAAGTGGCTTTCATTCCCTTTGTACGCGAGTCTTGGAAGTAAATGAAATTGTGTTCTTGGCTGTAAGTCAATCTCCTTCTCCCCTGATTCATGGCAAAATAGCAAAGGCACAGCAGCACTACATTGCTGCATTCAGTGCACTGCTCAAAACTGGAGCCGACCTTCACCCTTGCTCCCTGGCTATGCTGTACTCAAGAGCCATTAATCTTAAGAGCAGGGGCAAGTCACAATGTTTTATGCATTGCAAAACATTTGTACCAAATGCATCTTGGCAGTAATGCACTGTAGAGCAACCCAAAACCTGTGATGGCCGAATCTGAAGCTGCTGCAGGAATCTTTGTGCTAAATACTACCCTCCTGCTTTCCTGGCTGCTGGAAAAGGCCAAGTGAATCACAGACATGGCAATTACTGATTACAGAAACACAGGAGCACACAGTGGAGCAAAATCAAAATGTACAAGATGCTAATTTGTAGCCGATCACCAATTTATGAGTTGAGCACAATGTCAACAAAGTCTTGTTCCACAGAACAGCATACTATCAGCTCCATAATTATAATATATCAAACAGATATTATAAAATTCTTGCTCCAAAGGAAAGATAATTTTTCACAGACTTTCTGAATATATACAGAGGGAAACCTGTCCACATTAAGATGAATTTTATGAATATATAACACTTGATAAACAGTAAGTACATTCAAGCACAAGGATCCTCTCCTACAGTAGATGTTACTAGAGAGCAGGTTTATGGGGATGATTTGCTTAACTTTCCACACTAGGGGTTGCAAGGAACACCATAGATCTCTACAAACTCACATACGTTACACTAAATTGTAAAGTGGGCAATGAAAAACATGGGTGGCCAAAAGCTCTGTATAAATACTGGCTGGCAAGGAGGCAGTTTATATACACCAGAGGAATGAAGCTGTGAACACCTTTCTATGACACTAAAGCTGACAAATATAATCAAATCAAATATTGTGATTTTATGGCATGCTAAAGACTGAGCATATTGACAATTTTTGTTCAGTATGAATAAGAGGAACTAATTTCATGGCAGTGTCATAAATTGCCAAAACCTGATTTTTCATAGATTTCTGTCTTTTAGTAGATCAAAGGAGGGAGTAGATGCAGAACCATATTTAAAAATTACAGATGGGAGAGAAAGAGTACCAATGAAGTTACATTAATTCATAGACTTCACAGATTCTTCCAAGGAATAAATTGACATTTTTTTATAGCTTTTCTTATTTCTGTTTTACCACACAACCTTTGGTCAGAAATCACCTTTCTAGCCCTCATTCTCAAAGTTTTTGTTTGAAATATTTACGGGAACTAAGAAGCATGATTGCTCTAATTGTCACTTGGTGGCACTGTTACCGTACTCAATACAAATAAAGCTTAAAACGATTGCAGGATTTTTTACTATCAAATGTTGCTGTTTTGTTGAGTATTTCCCAACCCTAAGCTAAAGCAAAATTATGAGGACTGGAAATATTTTGAAGCTTGCATCATTTAAGTACCTTATTATTGCACTTATATTTTTTCTTCCCTGGCATTACCAAGTTTAACTGTCGGTGTCATTTTGAGACCATATATTGTAGTGCTACTCATTAGAATAAAAAAAACTGAAAAAGAGAAAAATTCAGATAAATTTTGTAGCTGAGGAAAATCTGCTACACATTTTTACAAAACTGGATGAAAACCATGATTTTAAACAACTGCAGAAATGATGTTTTCAGAATTCTTCAGTGTTGTATTACTGTGGTATTCCAGTAGCGCAAAGTAGAACACTTGTCTTTTCTGTGATTAAATTATTAATATCACATGGGAAAAGCAGTTTTATTTTTAGCATGTATAGAGAGTTAGATACTCTACAAACCTAGTCTCAGCAGGTCAGCTACTGGTAATTTCTGAAGAAGGAATTTGGAAATGAAATAGCTGAAGTGTGGCAGGCCATGATGGAGGGAGCTGACACTTAAAACATGATGAGAAGGAACAAAGCATTTTCTAAAGACACATTTCCTCTGTCACAGAGGAAGGGGTTTGTAAGCACAGACCCAAGTCACTCCTCTGTGCTGGCACTGACATTTATCTGAAGACGTACAAAAATCAAGTCTCCAGCCACTCCAGTGGCAGTATTTTGTATTCCAACAATCTCCAGGACAGCTGCAAGAAGAACTGATCTTGCATAGAAAATAATTTGCTCTCAAATACTATTAAACCCATGCCTGCATAGTACTGTAACCCAGGTGTAGTACCTCTGATCAGCCATATCAATAGTCCACTTTTTAAATTTCTCTAATACCTGCTGTAGAACTGCCCTGAAAATTTTACTCCATTAAGGAGGATGTTTGTGTATCCTCATACCTCAAACAATAATATGGTATGATTCTAAGGTTCAGTAATGACAAGTAAGGCTTTCACTTACACAGAAATGTAATAATAAATATACTAATGTATGAGGCCTGACAGGAAAAAAAGAA